GTTCAATTGAGTCACGAAGGGATTAGTGATAGTGGGTCATCTGTTGTTTGTTAGCAATAATATCAAAAATCAAATATGGACATTCGTAGTTTGCTTAGTTGAGTACAATCATTTGAAATTAGAATCGAGGTGTGCCATTTAGTTGAATTTTCATGGCCCTCGCAAAATTGCTAATGCGTAGTTGCTTTAGGCGCGCTTTTTAATAATTTTACCTTCCTAAATATGGGTGCACATTTATGTGACCCAATTCCAAATCCCAACGAAGTCGAAATGTGTCAAAAATCACGGGCGTACTGGTGCGGCGTGGTTCGAGATACATTTTCACGACGTTGCAATTCTTATTAAAATATAAAAATAAAAGCAGGTTGCTAATAAAAGGCATATAAGTTAAAACATGTATTAAAATCAGATTTTTTTTTAGCCAACTATAATAATTTAAGCGACCGTGCTAGAACCACGGGATCCGGGGGTGCCTAACACCTTCCCTCGGGTCAACAGAATCCCTTATTCAGAATTTCTGCTTCGCAGACTCCAATTGGGAAGTCAAAATTTTTCTTCGATTTGGGATTCAAAATTAAACCGGTGACTTGGGACACCAAAAGCCAATCTTATCCCAAGTGGCGACTCTAAAATAAATAAAAAATCCCATTTCGAATAATGTCACTTTAAATGGAAAAACTCCCTTATACACTTATCCTTCGGGTTAGGTGTGTAAAAAAAGGAGGTGTGACAATAGCCTTTTTTGTTTTTTATATGTATTTTTGCGTTTTATTTTTATTTTTAAATTTGTTGTCCTTTTTATATTTGTTGTCCTGTACAGATCAGTCGGTTCATTGTTTTCATTGAGACTTCATTTGAAGTTATTATCGACTCTTTGTCAAAAGTTTCTATATGCTTTTTGTATCTCAATAACTTGTCCCCATTATGTGTAGAATTGCATGAAGCTCTATATTGGATTTACTTCCCAGAATATTACATTTTGTTGTGCACGTTTTAGTATGACTAGGATTGTGTGATTCCTGCGAACATAGGAACTATAATGCGTTGTTTTTCTACTACAATATTGTCTTCTGTTATGTCATCTGATGATTGTATTATTCACTATGGCGATCAGTGTAGCCTTTAATGAATATAATCTGACCTTCTTCTTTAATTGTTTATTCTTTGTTACTAAACTGACATAAACTTGTTATTTCAACAGATCAAAAACTTGAAGCCCGAAGAACCTTTTCTTGAAGAAAGTGCATAGAAAGTTGAAGAACAAGAGAATTTTGTGATGTTAGGGATGGTTTGAAGGCACTGTCTTATGTACATATGCTGCAATTTTATTTTTTCTCTTATTAGGAATTGTTAAAGATGATCTTATACTATNACTGCATGTGTTGAAGCGTGCATCTTTTGATAGGAAGCTATTCAATGTGAAAGATCAGCTAACCAATACCATCTCAGTTGGTGATATGGTTAGAGGTTTGGATGGTCCTTGAAGGTTTGACTATTATTCATCTTTTATTTTTATTTGTTTGATCATGATAGTATCTGAGTCAGCTTGTACATACCTTGGCTAATCCACCGATGACTTGCTATTTCCTTCCACTGCCCACCAAAGGTTAGGTAGGTGTGAATAATTCACTAGTGCTTCTGTTGGCATTTGACAAGAGGGGTTGCTCTGATGGTAAGCAACCTCCACTTCCAACCAAGAGGTAGTGAGTTCGAGTCTCCCCAAGAGTAAGGTGGGAAGTTCTTGGAGGGAAGGATGCCGAAGGTCTATTTGGAAACAGCCTCTCTACCCTAGGGTAGGGGTAAGGTGTGCGTACACACTACCCTCTCCAGACCCCACTAAGTGGGATTATACTGGGTTGTTGTTGTTGTTGTTGTTCTTCTGTTGGCATTTAAAACCTTGGCTCCCAAGGTTTTTACTCCAGATGTTTGACCACTAGGTCACCCCTTGGAACGTTTTGACTGTTATTCATGGAAGCAGTAACATCTTTTTATCTGTTAATTAGTCTTCTGAAATGATGTAATGTAGGGTTAAAAAATGTAGGATAGACAAGGAAATGTTTAGCAGATCTATAAAGGGTTTCTATATGACCAAAGTGAGCAGGATAATAGTGGTTATCACTGTGTCAAAGGTCAGATGTGTGAAAAAATTACAGGCAGTGATGGTGTATCGAATGAGAAGGTTTGTACATTTCAGGGTACATTAGAAATAATCGTATTCTTATGATACCCATATTTGTTCCCCTAAAATTTTTGTGCTTGTTCTATTTAATCAGGGAAGTGAGCCTGGTCCCTCATGACCTGTGGCTCAGGTTTCTCATCATCACCTAAATCCCCTGTTTCGCCTGAGAAATCTTGGAGAGTGAAGGATGATAACTGCAGTTGTATGTTTTTTTATTAGTCTGCTCTTAAATCCTCTCTTTCTATTTTATGTCTCGAATCTTGGCACTGCTCCCAATTCAAATATTTTTTCCTTTAACTTGTATTTCTTCTTCCTCAAGCAGTCAAGTGCAATGATAGAGATGGAATGTTTTCCGTTGGTCCGTCTCTAAGAATTTGAGTGGGGCCTTTGAAGGGATATCTTTGTGGTGTATTAGACATTTCGACGTTCTGATGTTATAGTAAAGCTTAATTCCCAACAAAAAAATTCTCACATTTTTCTCCTTTTCTTGGATGAGTAAAAGTAATTGGTCCAAAATGTATGCATAGATGGTCATTTATGTCTTCCACTTCTTTTGTGCAATCTTCTGCAACATAGTAGTTCCTTGACTGTCTTTGCATTGAATTTTTAGATTGTATTAAGCTGAGAACTTTATGGCCCATGGCAGTGTATAAAGAGGTGATTCACTTCTTCCTCATTTTCTAACACGTGGAGCTTTTGCCTCACAACACCATTCCGGTCCTTTATAATTCTGATTGTGTTAAACATGCTCATGTGCAGTTATCTGCCTACCTTAACTGATGCTTTGCTCTTCCAGATTATCTACCAAGGCTAGTGTATAATAGTATTCTACCTTTTGCACAAATTTCTGTATCCAGACTTAACGGTGTATTTCGATCCCTTTGATATTCTCATTAGTCATTTCACTACAGCTTCTTCCTCTAGACATATTCTGGCCCCTTCTATTTTCCCAGCAGATTGGTGACTTTCCCTATTCCCAATCTTCACATTTTCTCCTAAAAGATAATTCTCATCCTTTTTGTGATGTTGTGCCACTGTTGCTTTAGTATTTACTGCCAAATTATATTAGGGGAATATCTTCTGCCAACTTTTTATCCTCATGCCATTACCCATTGTGAAGTGTATGTTTTTTAATTTTAAAAAATATCTCAGATGTTTTCCACAAGTCCACTCCATGAGCACGCCTGTTAAATTATAACCTGTTTACCTATGTGAAATTTGTTACTGCTGTGGGACATATCTTTCTACATGGTTGTATCTGATTGCATAGCTGTTGACATGTGATTTTTGACCCTCCCCGAAATTTTACCCATTTTTAGCATGTAAATATTTAGTTTAGGCCTAATATCGCCATTTCAACTAATTTTTACTATTTTACTTTATTTTATTACAAGAAAATAAAAAATTACAAAAAATAAGTTTATTAATATTTTATAATCATTTTTAATCTAAAAAAAAATTACCAAAATAGTACCTTATCTTTATTTTTATATAATCTTGAAAACACAAAAAAAAAAAAAAAATAAGTTTTAATGTTTTATAGTTTGGTTCAATTA